CAGTCTGCAAAGGCCCGAAGTTTATCTGACCTACCTGGCTCTTCATCGTGTTCCTGAACTGGAAAGTGTTTGTTGACTTAGGATGCCATTTACCTGACTTGGACATTGCTGAACTCTGTTTGGGACTTAAGGCTTGTATTCACTAAAGTGAAGAAAGTGCTGAACTGTAACGTACTCAGTGACTGGGCTTGCTTATTAGCTGCTGGCTATCAGCTGTGTAGCAGTCAGCCTGTGACTAGTTGCCCGGGCTGTTTTTAAGACATCTAGGCTGCATCCATATTGCAGAAATAAACCAGTGTGACCCCACTTTAACTTCCATGGCTCAATGCTATGGAATTTAGGAAAGTATAATTTGTTGTGGCAACTCTGCTCTGGTGCCACAGCAAACTACACTTCCCAGAATTCCATGGCCATTAAAGTGGGGTCACACCGGCTTATTTCTGCAGTGCGGATGCAGCTCTAGACCCCTGTTCCATTTTCCTGCATTTTGTAAAACCTCAAAATCTCAGCCTTAGTCCCTTTCCATTTTCTAGCTCCTTAAAAACATGATCAAATATTGAGCTGTCTACCATACCCTAGAGTGGCACTGTGGTTTGAGCATTGGACTACAACTCCAAAGATCAGGGTTCAACTCCCTGCTTGACCATGGAAACCCAGTGGGTCACCTTGGGTGAGTCACATACTCTCAGCCTCAGAAAACCCCATGCTAGAGGATTGCCATAAGTGAGGACACCATAAGTTGGAAACTACTTGAAGGCACACAACAATAGTAAACCATATCCCAGTGTGTACTATGGGTACTACAGACAAGAGCACAAAGACTCTCTTTTTAATTATACAGATGTAGTCATGGAATTTCCCCTAAAGTAAAAGCATGATCATGCTGTGAACAAATCACTGCATGAAAACACAAACACACACATAAATTAACATATGGTGATATTTTTCTTTTTTAAAAAAGGAAAACAAGTCAATATCATCCATTTCAGGGGTGGGGGTGGTAGGTGAAAGAGGTAATAAAATATTTTTATCTGTTTGCTGCTTTAGCAATTGCATCAGTTTCCAGTCTCAGCAGTACGTTCAGTGGAAACTTTTCAGAATTAATCTTTTATTTTATTTTTTTTTTAAAAAAAGAAATTATAGTTTAAAGGAGCAAAGGAAGCACACAAACACCAACACAGCCTGAACAAGAGCAAAATGCTAGACATATTAATTGAGAGGCTTAATGGAACATTTTATGTGTCATAATTAAAAATCTCCTTTGATCTGTGAGTGAATGATTTAATCACAATGTTCATTAGGCTAAAGGGGGTCTTCCATTTGATTGTATCAAGATGGCATGGAAAATTCTCAGACCTTTTGGGCCTTTCATTTCTGTTGTTCTTAAGTAAAAACAGAGGCCCATTTGCAAGCAGATTGGTTCTCCTTTGTTCTTCCGAATGTAATCGATTATGGAATCATTTAGAGTAAAGCCTTATTTCTCTATATCTGATTTTATTTTTGTTTCTTTTTACTGCAAATGGACCGACATTGTTTCTTTGTCAATTAATATTCCTTTGCCAGATAAATGACATATTGATAAACGTAACATGATGCCCCTTTAATAAATTATAATTTATTTTCCTGGAAGGCAGACAGGAATGTGTTAAATGAATTACCCAGCTCATTAAATCTACAACAATGTATGCATTGGATGTAGTGTGTGTGTGTTTCATTTTTGGTTAGAATGAGCTCAGGACAATATATTGGTAAGTTCCCTAAGCACATAAATACTGGTGTAGTAAAGGGGTTCTCAATATTTATTTATTTATTTTATATATCACTTTTCTTCCAGAGCAGGACCCAAGGTGGTTCACGGGGGGGGGGGGGGGGGGGGGTTAAAAACTTACCAATACATTTTTTTTAAAAAAACAATTAAAATAAGTCTAAAAGAATGTGCTTGACTCTTACATTTGTCTTTTTGCCATCTTCTTTGTCAACTCTCCAACTAAGGCAATATTCCACACATACATACATATATTTCATACACATACAAATTTTACATGGGGCCTTTTCAGTAGGATCATTCCTTTTATTTTTGATGTTTTACTAGAAGGTCCAATTTTCACAAATGCAGCTGGGAACCCAATATACAGTTGGCCTTCCTTATCCACAGATTCTTTATCCACAGATTCAAGCATTCACGGCTTGAAAATATTTTTTAAACGTATAAATTCCAAAAAGCAAACCTTGATTTGGCCATTTTATATAAGGGACACCATTTTAGTATGTCATTGTATTTAATGGGGATTGAGCATCCTCAGATCTTGGTATCCATGGATGGTAGTGGTTCTGGAGCCATACCCTAACAGATACCAAGGGCCCACATAGTCTCAAAACTTCATCTGTTTCCCTTACCATATACACCAGTCTTTCCACTACTTCTCAGTTGCTATTCAGTCTGTCCACTCGGAGACATGTGGGCACTCCACAATTTCTGCTTGCTCTTTCCATTGGATTTGGATGGCACTTGGCTTGCTTTTGAGCTTGTAAATGCTGTCTGGAGGTTCTCTATCTACCTTTGCCTTCTGCCAGTGGTTTTTGTTCTCCTTGGGAAATACGTACTGCCTGACGACAGAATATCCACCCATCCATACAAAAATCATACCCTTCATGTTCCTTTCATTCATTCCCTCACAATTTCACATCCTCTCCATTAAAAGTAAAATCCAAGAAGTAGCGGGCATCTCAGACCAACAAGCCAGCTGCCACAGAGCCTTCTCCAGTCCTAATCCTGCTCTTTTTGAGGCCTCTTCCCTGTCTTGCTATATCTGACAGAGGGAAAGCCATTACCTCCTTCCCCAAGGAATTCTGACAACTTAAAACAACTTATTCATTAAAGTTTAGGAATAACTTCAGTGTTAATCATGCAGTCTATGGAGTCCAGCCATGTGGGGGAGAGAGTGAATGAATTAATCATTTAACAAATTAATGATTCCCTCAAGCATTGCTCTTGGGAGACAGTAATACCCATCAGATGGAGTGTTGCTCATAAACCCTTTGGGAATGCTACCTAGTTATTTCCACAAGTTGAGTTGGCAAATGATGTCAGCATGAAGTTTTCTGCTAGTCTTGGGCTGCACTTTTAAAACACTCTTTAGTTGGATTGCAATGCCTTGATTTGCACTAGTAGCAGAACCACTTGCCACATAGGTTGAGACATTCTGGACATTGTTATTAAATTCATTGACTCCTTCAGGCTCTGCTGTCTGATTATTGTTATCTGCCTCCCTGTAATTTCTGACATTGCAATCCAAAGATGAACCTGTCACAGGGTTTTCTTGGCAAGAAGGGCTTTTTCCTTTGCCATCCTCTCACACCGAGACAGTGTGACCTGCCCAAGGTTGCCCAGTGGGTTTCCATGGCTAAGCAGGGATACAAATACTGGTCTTCAGAGACTTGGGGGGGGTGCAGACTGGCAGAAATAGTGCAAATTGAGTCCACTTTTAGGGTTAGGGTTAGTGCTAAGGAATCATGGGAATTGCCACAATAAAATACAGTTCCCATGATTCCCTAACCCTAACCCTAACCCTAAAAGTGGACTCAATTTGCACTATTTCTGCTAGTCTGCAACCCCCCAAAGTCCAACACTCAAACCAGTACATTATGCTGGCTATCTGATGACAGAGCTTAAATATGTTGGATTTTGCTGTGACAGGAAGTTTTGCAATTCAGAGTGTCAGCCCAGCTTCACCTTCACTATTATCTCTATGGCATATGTGTTGCATACTAAGCAAAGAATCAATGTAATATTCACTCTTGATCTTCATCCTCATTTCCCCAGGAAGAGGGTCCCAGCCCCACAGGCCTCCAACTTTCAGGCTAGAGTCACAGTTCAGGTTGCATTACTAAGTTCTGCCCACCCAGCTTTGTCCCTGGTGATGTTGCATCACAGGTCATCATGTGGATTTTCTGGTCTTCTTGTAGGCCCATGATTTCAGCCAAGATTCCCCTTCCAAAGAGTTGGGGGCTACCATATGGATTCCCTGAGGTGCTTCTCAGTGCCTCCTAGTCTTCTGGGGTCTAGGATACACACTTAGCAACCATATTCTATCTCCAAAGGACTCCTCACTCCTGGTGGATTCTCTAGTATCACTTTAGACCTTAGGTTTCACCTATGGTCTTCCCCACAGTTGGGTTTGGCTTTGACTTATAGATTGTCCAGAGTGCCTCTCAGTGGTCTGGAGGCTTTCAGTTCTCAGGTCAGCCAAGCAACCCTCAGAAGGGATGGATTCTTTAATCTCTTTGCAGTTCAAGATTGCCTTTAGAAATTATTTTAGTCCTGTACAGCGTTCCCTGGTGATGCATTCCACAGTGGGAGGCATGGAGTGGTATCTGTCTCTCAGCTGTGTGTTCACAAGAGATCCATGGAGTTCTCTGTATGTCACATCTGGCACACTTCCTGAAGCAGGTGTTTTACCTATGCTCCACTTCATCTTTGAAATTATTGATGGCTTCCAGATGTTTGGGTTCTATCACTGTGTGGGGTTGTTTATGATATATACTTCTTGATATGCACCCCCATTTGCAAACAGTAAATAGTGAAAGTTTCCTATCCTTAATTATGGTGGCATAGAAAATGGTGCTAGAAAAAGTCTGAACAATATCATTGATATCAAAATCAAGCAAACAAGAGGCCAGAATGCAGTTTCTTTGACACCCTTCCAAATACTAGCATATTGAACCAGCCACATTGTAACATTGTGCTCACTACTACATTGTACCCAGCAGGGCATTTTGATCATGACATTTCTGATATCATCCAAAGTGGACTTATTAATATTAGTTTTCTCCCATTTATCCCAAAGCTGCTGACAACATGTTACATCTCGTGGCTTGTTACATTACTCCAATTTAGTCAAATGTGACTAATCAGTTTTGCTGGTTTAACCACTTTTTTCATGGAGTTCTGGAGCTCTGCTACCACGATGGAAATTTTAAAAAAGAAAAGAAAGAAAAATAAATAAAGGTAATCAGGGTGCTTAGAAATAGCGAGAGGGAGGAGGACCAGGGGAAGGAGGAGGTAGTGATACCACATAACTGACAATTGTGAACTGCTCTGGGAGTGACATTTTGCACTTGGGGACTTGCACAATTGCCAGGTCATTGATGGGTTTTCCTGTCAATGAAAAGGGCTGGGTTGGGGACAGAGCAGCTGTGAGTCAGAGGTGACTTTGTGCAATAAGTATTGCCAAAGTCATTTCTTTCCTAGTTTAATCATCGTTTAAACGCACATAGTAACGTTCTTGGTCTATTTTCCCAGTGGGTTTCTCTTGCCCATTTACCTTCCTCTCCCAGGACCTAATTCACTTCTAACAGAAAGAAGACAGGAAAAGATACAAAACTCTTGTGATTTAAAGTGAAGCAATTGCAATGTTGCCCAACAATGCTGAACCCTGGTGCTCACCCTATTGGACATCATAATGTAATCTCCCTCCACCCCAGTTGTTTGTTTCTCTTCTCTTGGTTTCTAGTTATACTGTGAATCAGAATCAAAACATCAGAGCTTTCAGGAGATACAAATATGCTAAATATCTGCAGTCTGGAGTATTAGAGTATATTAGGAGATGTACTTATATGGCATGTGAATGGACCATCATAAAGATT